AACAGGCTATGAAGTCTGACAGTTTAATAATGACAAAGGCTCAAGGGATCTGGAAATTATATGTAAGAAAAGACAGGGGAAGGGATTCCATTTGCATTCCTCATGTGGAAAATGAAGTGGGAAAAATGGGAGGGGGAGGCAGAATCTAGAAAACAAAAAGATGAAAAGTGGCTCCTCTGCACCGAGGCCCACGAGGCATCTCAGCCTCGGGAAGGATGAGACGGTGTGAGGTTTGCTAAGTTTTTCTGAATAACCAGAGGGCAGGAGGAAGATGCTGGCCAAGAGCCCCAAGTCTGATGATCAAACTGGTGGGGAAAAATACCTCAACGGAAACAGAACAAGTTCAGAGAGGAGGGATGGGCTGCAGATGAGGCAGGCGACATCGGAGCGCCAGGGGGAGCCGGGAGCTCTCTGCCCAGAGTTTAGCTGCACGTGTGCCTGAGCGTGGGGCTGGGAATACACAAAGTGGGCTGTGAATACATTCACTCACTTCTGCACCGATCATTTTAAGCGAGTTTGCTCCTTGCTGCTTAGAGCTTGTCATGACCGGGCACAAGCAGGTCCCCTGGGAGCTGTTTAAAACCAAGAACTTGAGGCCCCACATCAGCCCTACTGAGTCAGAATCTAAATTTTTAACAAGATCTTTGGGTGCCCTTTTATTTTTTCCTTCTGTAAAGGACCCTGCTACCAGCCATTCAACGCCACATTTAAGCTTCTTAGAAAAATTACAAAAAGCTTTTATCACAGCATGGTTGTCAGACAGAAAGTCGTCTGGTGATCACATTTTTCCTTCTCTTGTTTCCCAATGTCATCAGTTAATTGCCTTATCGAACATTTCCAAAGACTTCCATTCAAAGGTTTTTAAATAAACATCAGAAAATCAGATTTATGGGATTTCTGCAGAGGCAAATAACCCGATTTCCAAAACAGGTTTTCTCTTGCAACTCATTCTTGCATAAATATTATGACAAGTACAAAATCAGCTTGCAGTAAAATAGCATAAGATGAAACCCCACTCGTGATTGAAAGGTCAGTGAAACAGAAACAGGGACGGGGCTGAGGGCTGGTCTATGCGGCCACCAGCTGTGTGTCACTCCTTCCCGGGCCTTGGCTTCCTCACCTGTGAGACACAAGAGCTGAGCTGGCTGGGAGGGTTACTATGTTGGGGACATTCTAAGGTCCTGCGAGCTACAGTACTGCCAACAAGAGCTTGGAAACCGAAAGTCCCTTAATCCACTGAATTCAACCCTCCCATTGTGTGTGTGAACTGCCACCGAAAGGGTAGGCTGCTGGAATCCAGGGTCTAAATACTACACAGATGAATGGAAACACCACCGCTGGGGGCAGGCAGGTGTGGGCCGAGGCCACAGGGCGGAGAGCTCACACTCCCTGTAAACAGCTGGCAGCTCGGCCCAGCTGCTCATGGATCAGAGAGGGCACGCTGCTCGCCCACGTGCAATTACGTGTGAAGATGGCAAATCTAAAAATAGCCTGAGCTCAGCCACAGAGGTTAATGCTGTCAATGGCTTTCCACTCAGCTGTCAGGATGACAGGGAGGGGAGTAACTATAGCAACAGAAAAGTGAACACATAAAAAAAGGTCTTGTGAAGTTGACAGGGAAAGTTGAGAATTAATAAAATATCTCTTTTCAATTCCTGTCTCTAAATCTTTGAATTCAAATAGTTCAATTATGTAGAGGCAATGAAATTAGAATTTTGGTAGACTTTTGATACAACAAATACTCTTTCAGTCTTGGGTTCCAGAACTATAATGAATTACTGCTCACGTGTCCATTTCATTGCCTCTATGATTAAAGGACCATTTGAACAAATGCCTTCCTATAACCTTTAACTGATAGGCTTTTCTCTATATTTGCTTTCCCAGTTATAAAAATAATCTTGAACTGTACCTGACATTTTAAGATATTACTAGATGAAGAAAATGTAGGGCGATATGAAATTCTCTTGAAATGAAAGGAACTTAGTGTAAATAATTAGCAAGACGAATGGCTACAGGGCAGAACTCTGTTTTCTGAGTTCTCAGTTCCTGAGACAGTTCTCAGTCACCTCGGGGGCCTGCAGCCCAGAGTGTGGTGACTGCAGCTCGGCGGTGCTCAAGTGCAGGTGCATCGTTCGGTTCTGAGAAGGTAACTCTTGCTCAAGGACTTCACACATCTCAGGCCCAGCACATCAAACCTTGTCATGTCATTTGACAAAGGAATATTCAGTTGGGTGTTGGGAATGCGTTACTGGTCCCTGCTCATCCACGAACTAGCTGTGGGGTCCCAGGGGGGCCCCTTGCACCCCATGGGCACAGCTGGGTGAGTCTCAGGATATTGCTGGAGAAGGGACAGTTAAAGGGGAGAAGGTCCTGCTTGTGTTGGGTTTTAAAATACATTATCGTGGCAACAAAATGACATGTGAAAACACCGCCATATGCCTGGTTTCAGCCTGTGTCTGTTTGTAGCTGCAGGAGGGTCTCTCCCTCAGGTACTACTCCAGCTGCTGCTACAGCTGGCCTGGCTGCAGAGCACAGGTGCTAGTTACGTGGTCTCAAGCCATCCACAGGTTTTCTGTGACCGTCTTGCATTTTCCAAACATTGATGATTATGCCTTTTGGGAAGATGCTTTATAATCTTCCTTTCACCCAGGCATCCGCCATGAATGCTTATTTTCACCTCAAATATATACTGCTTTACCACCTGTTTTTTTTTTTCTTCACTTAATATCACTGACCTCTTAAGATAATAAATTATAAAGCAATTTTAATCTTATGAAGATTGCATTATCATAATATAATCAATCACTTACTAATGGATACTTCCATTCCAATTTTGTCCTACTTGAATTCTCAGGGAAAAACAAAACATCACACAGGAAAAAAAAACAACAACTGGGGTATAAAAATTCATTTTTAAAGGAAGTATAAGTCAAAAAAGTAAATCAAGAACTTCACTTTAATTAATCTTTGTGTTTTCAAATCTTCGCTTATAGACTCAAAATTGCATACAACATGGAAACACACTTTTTAACAAGCCATTGTTATAATATGCACATAAAATGAAATGCATCTGCGGGCCCTGGGGCCAGGAATTCTTCTCAGCATCCCTCAACCCCACTTAGAAAATGCAGTCCTGCTCTTTACACAGCAACCGGCAACAAGAAGTTGACAGCTAAGTGACGGCATTCTGGTTGAAAGTGAAACTTACACACAAAAACAAATCTAGTTTTGTGGTTACTTGAAAATTCACAGTTTGCATGGGCTTTTCTTTAATTAAAGTGTTTCCCCCTCCCTTGCCCTAAGAAAATAACTCTTAGTGCTGATTGAAAGACAAATCGTCAGAGCAAAAACTGTTTGAACATTCTGGGGCCTAAGTAAAGCTGCTTTAAAAGCTGCTATGTGGCCCAAACAACGTGGAAATTTTATTAACAACAAATTTGTTTTTGTTCTCCTACTTTGGTCAGTCCAGAATCAAGTAATGTGAAGGTCATGCCCAGAGCCAGAGAAGCAAATAAACAGAAGATGAAAAAGGTACAGATGGGTACAAACATATGCACAAACTCCCTTCAAATCAAAATTGTATTTAAATAACCAGCTATAATTAGTTACATAATTTATATTAGTTACTTCCTGTAAACCACCTCTTCATACTTCCTTCTGATGAATTTTGAAGTGTGAGCCTAACAGATCCATGTAAATTTAGTCTTATATGAATTTTAGAAAACTATAAAGAAGTATACAAATAAACAGTTTTGCAGGGGGTGGAATTAGATGGGGGTGGAGTTGTAACATTTCTTGCTGTAGTAAGAGATTCTACTCTTCTTTTGATCATCTGCCAGGGTTTCTCTTGTTTCCTCCTCTTGGGCCCTCCCTCTGAAGGAGGGGTAGGGTAGAAGTAAGGCCAAGGCTACAAGAGGCCCTTGTCAGATGCCTACCAGGATATGGGGAGGCAGCCAGCCACTTGGGTCAGCGTCTCTTCAGAGAGCACTGAGTACTTGCTAGAGGCTAGTTGGTTAAGATCACAGCCAAATGCCAGTGGCTTTGGCCACATGTAGTGGACTCTGATGGTCCCTGCCAGTAGGAAGGGACCTTGCTAGATGCTCTTCGACTTCCCCTCATTTGGGACACAGCTGCATTTCACACAGCGCCGGGTATTGCCATTTCTCCACAGCCAGAAAGCAGCATGCCGGCCCTTCCCATGAGGGCACACGTTTTATTTTCCTAATTTATTCCCCAATTATAGCTGATGGACACTGGAGAGTGGAGAAAGAAAGATGTCCATCAGTGGACAGAAGACAGTAACAATACATATCACCGAAGCTTTTGAGCATGGAGTTACTGAGCAATCCATGCACGAGCCGGTGGAATACATTTTTAAGTTAAAATACAGCATTTTCACAAAGATAGAGAGAGTAGTGCCCAAAGACCCCTAATGTCACGCGTGTGTGACTCACATGCAAAATGAACTTCAACCCAGGACATTTCTTAGAAGATCAGCACAGACAAAAGAAAAGGTCATGTGATCCTGACCATGCATTTCCGCCACGTGGCAAAAAACATGTATTTTTAAAAATGAACAATGCATGATCAAAATAACAGTCATATTAGTGATCACAGACAGGTTGGCACAATGGCAGAGCTGAAACTCAATACTGCATTTAGGTTTGCGGTAGATGTATTTACCAGGGCCAGCGAGCGTAGCAGTTAAGATTTGAAAACCGTAGTGAGATGATTAGATTTTGGATTTTGACTCCACTTATGAGTGAAATCCATACTGAGATTGCTCAATTTTGAATTGCTGATGATATAATCCTGGGCAATTTTATTAATTTCCCCGAGTTTCTCTTTCTTCACGTGGACAATGTACAAGTAACAGTACTTCCACTGCAGTGCTGCTGTGAGGATTGGTCGAGAGAATTCTCCATAAGCATTTAACACAGGACCTAGAGACTACTGCTCTCAGCACTGTCATTACTCCCAGGCCAAAGCAGCTCACTCACCCAGATGTGTGTCCATCACCTTTGCGCAGTATTTGCACATGGCATCCAGGTCATTCAACTGCCCTTGAAGGAAAGAAATTTGGGCTTCTAATTCTTCTTCCTAAAATACAGGGGGTAAAGAAATGGAAATTCAAAAAAAATTCACATAAATCTCTCAAAGTTCTCCACACGATCTGGAATATTTTAAAAAGGCAACAATGTCTTTTCAGTCCTAGACAAAGCATAAGAAACAGCAAAGAAACATAAGTAGACTAACAATTGACATTTTTTAACAAAACAGAGGGGAAAATGGAAGTTTTAAACATCTGAAATTTTCCTGATGGAATGCCAGTTCTGTGCCATGTGTACATGTTTACCCACATAACCTTGTACTAAAAAATTACATAAAATATTTTCAATAAATATTGACACAAATTGGGAGGGTAAACTGGATTTCAGTGGACCACACTCTTAGTCACCCGGTACAAAACCAGTGCATTCTCTCAGACAACAGATTTGGGAAACCAAGGATTTCCATTTGTACAGACAAATCCCATCATTTCAAGATGAGAATAAACTCATAAAACGCCAGGTTTCCCAAAGCACTTGGAGAAGTTTTGCCCTGGAAACCCACAAAGAACACTTACATTTCCTCTCTTGATATGACACCAGAGCTTTTTTATTGATTTGACAGTTTCTAGGAAAAGAATACTTTGAGTTGAGTAATTAAATGGTAAAAGACAATCTAGGATAAATTCTGTTTTTTTTTTTCCTCAAGTGAAAAACACATGCAAAAAAACTTCCCAAGGAATTTAGGTCATGGAAGTTTTTCTCAGAGAAAGAGTAATCCTTATCACATGGGATATTTTAAACCCAGGTAACTAGAATACAAATAAAGGATGTTACCAGAACTGGAACAGACTAGAAAATGACTTTCTGGTCTTAGGTGCTGGCCCTTTTAAATGAGAATCCTCTGTGCCATTAAAAGGAAGGGAAGACTTATTAAGATACAATTTATTTTTCTTAGAGACAGTATAATTTGACTTACTGATGGAAATAAAGAGCCAAAAAAGCTACCTGAAGGTGTATTCTATTCTAAGAACACACATAGAAAGCATTGAAAAAGCACTGTTTTTTTTTCTTTTGAAAGATTTATTGATTTTTGCACAAGAATTGGGGTACAGGCCAGAGATGTGGGGAGTGAGAGGATTCACCAGAGACAGAGTGGGGAACAGAACAGGCAGATTGACTGAAATACACTGCTGAGGGGAGCAGCGGGCGAGTCAGGAGAGGTCTGCCGCGCCATGTGGGTAGCTCCCTGGTGGGGGCTCAAACTCGTGCTGCAGTGGCTGCGGACAGCTTCATAGGTTGCGTCTCAACCCCTTGTGTCACCAGGGAGGTCCTGAAGAGCACTATTTTTAACCGCTTGTCAGGAGAAGGAACCCTAAAGAATATGCATTTAATGGCCGACATAGAAAAGACAGAGCTGCTGCTCTAAAAACAAACTACTGTGCAGCCCCCACCGCGGGATTACACCAGCACTAACCCCCTTCTCTTGGCATCCCACAGAGCGCTCAGCCTCTCTGACACTCACACAAGGACGAGTGCACCAGAGCCCGGCAGGGAAAGGGTCCAGCAGCCTGGGGAGCAAGGGCTCTGCCTTTCTGACTTTTCAGCTGGGCTTTCAGGTGGAAAAGGATGGGGAATTTTGGGTCTTTTTTTTTTTCTTTTTTTCTTTGTTTCTGCAGACGTGAGAGCGTGCTCGCACAACACTGCAGGAATTAGAGGAAGGCCGCTGCATCTGTCGGGAACTATGGTTGTGGGGTTTCCAAAGGTGGCCACTGCAGATTCCTTCCCTCCCCCCAAAGTGCGCGCTGGTTCACTCTAAGAGGCAGAATCCTCATGCCCTTCCCTTAAGCTGGGGCTGGCCTGGTGATGTCTTCATCCAGAGAATGAAGCAGGAGTCAAACTGTGTCCATGTCACGGTCCTGCCAACTTCTGTCTCCGCTTGGGGGAGACGGCTCCCGTGTGGTAAAGCAGCCCAGGCTAGGCTATGAAAGAGAAGGAGGCTGCAGCAGAAACACTGAGATTCTAAACTCGTAAGTGAAGTGTTTCTAGGCCTTTCAGTCCTACACAGCTGATGCTGGCCGAGGGACCCCGCTGACAGAACAGAACAACGATGTGATGTGGGCAGAAGAACAGCTCAATCAAGCCTTGTTCCAACGTCTGCCCCAGAAACCTACGGGAATAGAGTTGTTTCTAGGAGTGGAATTTTGGAGTGGTTTGTTATGCAGCCACAGATAACTGAAATGTTGGTAGGATGGAAAGGACACCAGGTTGAGATATGGCGTGAGGAAATTTAAGTTCAATGTCTGGTCCTGTCATTAACAATAAATTGTGTAACCTTAAGTAATCCTCTGCCTAACATTAAGTGATCCTCTACCTAATCTGGGTCTAAATTCAGCACTCTTGGAGAAGGTAAAAGTCAGAGACTTCAGTCCCAGAGAACTTCCAAGCTGTAGCTAGAATACGAAAGGCATATGGATTACTAGTGGATGTGGTAGAGTCTATGCAGTCTTAGAATGAAATACGAAAACCTGGTTGGGAGTCCTGGTCCTTGTGGCCCATCCTTTCTGCTGGACAAGTCACCCGTTCCAATGTGTGACAGGCTAGCACTGGAGGGAGGCCACAGTATGGCAGTCTTTTAAAAGAAGGGGCCCAGCTGTGGCCTGAGCTTCTGTGGCTATTAATTGGGGTGCTCGCAGTCCAGAGAGGACAGGTGCCCTGGGAGTGCACGTTCTCCTGGGCTCTCTACTCTCTGTGTTAGTTTAACTTGGATGAAGCAATAACTTCTTTAAAAATGCAAAACCTCTTGGAGGCCTTAGCCCCCAGCAGTCATTCCTACCTAAATGAATTTATTTTATTGTTTGTTTTCCTTTGAAGAGCTTGAGAACTTGGAGCAGATACTTTGGAAGAGATGGGCCCAGCCTCTTGGTGAGGTGCTGGGCCACCTGAGGGAAGTTTGAAGCTGAAAGTACATCTCTTCCTCTCAACACTTGACTGTGTCAGAGGAACGCGATTGTAACAAAAAACAAAAAAACAAAAAAACAAAAAAACCCCAAAACCCCAAAACTGATTCACTGGGCCTCTTGATGCGGTGCAATGCAGAGTTTGCACATGTGTATGGGAGGCCCTGACGGCATGGCAGCGTTTCCTGGGATAGAAAAATGTAGTTTGCCTAGTCTGCGATTTTGCTTAGCATGCGAAGAGCCTCTTGCTTGCCTAAATCCCAAGTAAACCTCAACCAATACATGTAGAATCTACACTGCAGAAATGGCAATGTTCATTCATTTAAACTTTTTCAATTTTTTTTATATTGTTTCAGATTAATCAAGATGAGAAATCTTCAACTAAGGTGTTCAGTGATAAGCTATCTCAGAGGTCTAAGGTGAGTAACTGTTATTCTACTTTTTTTTTTTAAAAAAAGACTTATTTATCTAATTTTTATAAATTTTATTTTTATATTCCCCATACAATTGCAACCCCCTTATTTTGACCCCAATCCCTCCCCTCCCCAGCCCCCACCCCTCATAGAGTGTCTCTGGTTTATAGTTTTTGTTGATTTTGATTTTCACTTTCTTATAGTTATTCATTTTCCTGGGACTACAGCAAATTAAAGAGCTTCTGCACAGCAAAAGAGACAATAACAAAAACAAAGAGAAACCCCACCGACTGGGAGAACATTTTTGCACACAACACTAATGATGAAGGACTGGTCACAAAAATCCACAAAGAGCTGATGAGACTCAACAGCAACAAAGAAAATAATCCAGTCAAAAAATGGGCAGAAGAGCTAAAAAGAAACTTCTCTGAAGAGGAAATGCAAATGGCCAACAGGCATATGAAAAAATGTTCAACATCACTTGTCATCAGGGAAATGCAAATCAAAACTACCATGAGATACCATCTTACACCAGTGAGAATGGCACATATTAAAAAAACTAGCAACAACAAATGTTGGCGAGGGTGTGGAGAAAAAGGAACTCTCCTGCACTGTTGGTGGGAGTGCAAACTGGTTCAATTTTTTTTTTTTTAAGATTTATTTATTTATTGATACAAGCACTGGTACAGTCAGAAGCGCGGGAGGGTGAGAGAATTCATCAGAGCTAGAGCGGGAAGCAGAACAGGCAGACTGACGAAACACACTGCTGAGGGGAGCAGTGGGTGGCAGGAGAGGTCTGTTGCACCATGTGGGACCCTTGCCAGTGGCCAGGGATCGAACTGGTGCTGCAGAGGTTGTGGGCAGCCTTGCAGCCCAGCACTCAACCGCTGCGCCACCAGGGGAGGCCCTAAACTTTTTCAATTTTTCAAAGAAACACTCACACAAAATCTCAATGTATGAGACAAAGAGAGGCATTCTGGGTAAGACAGGTTGAGGGACCTCTTCCATTTGAAAGTCTGAAATCCAGAGTTTGCTTAATCTTAAAACATTCCTTAACCCTTCAACGATCACTCAGACTTCATAAATAGAAATGGAATCACTTGGAGGCAAAAAGGTGGCTTGTCATTTATTCTTACTATGTTATGTAATTAAAGCTGAAAAGAAAGAGCCAAGAATCAAGCTTCTAAAATTGTGGAAACTGACTTTACATTTCTATCTTAGCTTATGCGCCACACTCCTCCCAACTAACACACTTTAAACACTGACAGCTTTTAGTCATTTGTTTTCATTAAATTGGTTCTCTGTAATAAAAAACAAATGCTTGGCTAATTGCCTTGAGGTTTTCGGAAAACAACCAGTTAGTGTCATTTTTATGTGTAAATAAGATACTGAAAAGAAATGCTTATTCTATTTAGTTTTGCACGTATGTTCTGCCTTCCATTACGGGGGAAGCGTGGTGGGCCAGGATGAAATGCTGAAATACACACGCTGAGGTTCCAATCCTCTTTCTGCCTACTACCAGCTGTCAAATCTTGGACAATTTCCTTACCTTCGAGGTCCCCTCACCTCCACCTGGCAGGATCACTAGGAGAACAAAGTAAGAACACAGGGAGCACATGATAGTAGGTACTTAACAAGGGCAATTACTTTTCCTTTAAACAAATGCTCATAAATGAGGT